GTGTCAAAGCTTTTAAGTATATTCACAGATGCTAAACAGGCGTTTTATGTCTCACCCTCCCATTGGCTCATCCAGTGTTTACAACAACTGGAGAAAACTTTTGTCCTTATTCTGGATAATGCTGACGACTTATTGGAATCTGGAGATAGCGAAGTAAAAGACGACTTCCTAAGATTTGCGGAGGAAATTCTTGCCCAATGCAGTCACATCAAGGTTCTCTTCACTACTCGTGAGCGTCTAGACTACCTTAGGCATAAACTGCCCATCCATCAAGAAAGAGTTGGTGTGCTGGATGAAGTATCCTCGGTAAGTTTAGTGCAGTCCCTACTGCCATGTGTCTCGGACAATGACTGTGATTGTATGGTAAAGGAATGTGGACAAGTTCCTTTGGCAATGCGATTGATGTGTGGCATCATGAAGGAAGAAAATGTTTCACTTTCCGAGCTCTTAGAGGAGTTGAAGTCCTCGCCGCTTGTTGAAGTTTTGGACAATGAAAGTTTCTCTGATGACGCTCGACTAAAAATCATAATCAACAGATCCTTTGAAAGACTACCTGGCCAAGAGAGGGATGCGTTTGTCTCGCTGGCTGTTTTTCCGAGTTTCTTTGGAGTGCAGGAAACTAAGGCTGTTTTGGATTTGGAGACAGCCAGACTGACCAAGAAAGTGATTCATTCACTGGAACGAAAGTCTTTAATAGAATGCAGCTACGATTTTGAATCCTGCACAATTCATTCACTTTTGCGATCTTTCATCGACGAAAGGAGAACTGCTAACCACGCAGTTCAAACCATTTTCAATGCAGCTCAACTTCGTTTCTACGACTATCACATCTCTAGTTTTAGAGCTGCAAATGAAAAATTTTTAACGGGTTATTCTGTTGACGCGTACGAAGTTTTCGTTGGTCAGCGAGAAAGCATCCTGCTTTCCCTTAAAAATGGAACAAAGGATGATGCCCTCTATCCCAAGATTGTAAAAGTTTTGTCTCAGGCCGAGATTTTTTTGTGTGCTCTACTGCCTAATGAAGGGTTATTATTCAACAAACTTTACTCTATCACAGTAGAAGAGGCAAAGAAAAGGCAACGTCGAGACGATGAATGCAATCTACTTGCCGCCAAGTCGTTTGGCTCCTTGGGCGGGTTTTACGTCGATCGTCAAGACCTGAACCTGTCCTTACAAGCTGGTTTTCTTGACACTAATAGCTGCCCAGCGAAGCGTTTATGTTACCTTGGTGTCCATCAGCTACTATGCGGGAAAACGGATGACGGAATATCGTCTCTAACGGCTTCTGTAGATCGTCTGAATAGTGACTGTGACGAGAAAGTTCTTAAGGTACTTACCTACCACGTACTTGCAGTCTATTGCAGAAAAAAAGGAGACATGAAAAAGGCATCCGAGTTTCAAACGTTCTGTAATAATGAGTGTAAGTCTGCGTCGTTTTCTCCTGCAGTTCGCAATCTGTTCTTACGAGACATCTCTTCAGTTGGTAACGTGACAGATTTGAACAGTATCGGCGTCGAGCAAGATGTGTTCTTTTTTGCAGTAGTGGCTGAATTACTACCTGTACTTTACAAGGAGCTGGAGTTTGGCAAGCAGACTGAAGTGGAACGATCTATAATGACCCATCATCTTGTTGGACTGCACAAAGTTCTTCTTGCGTTATTTGACAAAGGAATTGTCCGTATTAGGGTACTAGAGGCATGTTGCAATGCATTATATAGCTTGAGGTGTTTCAAGGAAGCAGCAGAAGGCTTTCAAATGATAACAAACGAACTTGAAAAGACGCAGAGAAGCGAGCTCAAACGCACGGCACAAAATTACCTTTTTCGCGGTTTAGCTCTAAAAGAAATGAAAGACTACGAGAGAGCGTCTTTCTGTTTAAAGAAATCCCTTAACATTAGAAGGCAGCTGTTGCAAGAAAATGAAGACGCAATGCACGGCGACAAAATGGTCAGAGAGGTTCTTGATTCACTTGAGCATTGTTTGACAGTGCAAAAAAATTGCGATGGCGTTACTACTGGCCACACTGACGACCTCAAAGTTGTCCTCGAAGAACTGAAAAGTGTTGTTAAGTCAATGGAGAAGACGTATGACGCGGATCACGCTAAAATCGCGACAAACTATAACCAGCTTGGTTGTTGCTACTTCTTAGTAAACGACTACAATGCAGCCCTTGAGTCAATAGAGCAGGCCATAAAGATTAGAAAAGAGCACGTGGAAGATTCCGATGACGAAGTAGGATTTCTAATTAATAAAGGAAAGACGTGTTTCGAAATGAATCGGAACATCGAGGCTGGCAAGGCATTCCAAAGTGCCTTGGATCTGAGGAAATTGTTGGGGATTGAAGATCACGCGGATACTGCCATTATTTACGATGCATTTGGAGCAAACCATTTTCACTTGGAAGAGTTCAGTGAAGCTCTTGACGCGTGTCACCAGTCCTTACAGATTAGGAAGAAGCATTTAGGTGATCACACCCTTACAGCCCAAAGCTTTACTGCGACAGGATCTTTGTATTTCCAGATGGGGAGGTACGAGGCTGCTAGAGAGCATTTTCAGCACGCTGCTTATTTAGCAAAATCGTTGCTCGGTGACCATGAAGAGACTGCCTCTAAGTTCGACCAGCTGGCTGCAGCGTATCTTAAAATGGAGAAGTACAGAGGAGCTCTTAATGCTTATCAGGAAGCTAGGAACATACGATTGAAGGTATTGGGCGAACACCCGGATACAGCCATAAGCTTTCACCAATTTGGATGCACATGTTTTAAGATGGGCAATTTTAAGGAAGCTGCTAGGTCCTTTCGAAAAGCGTCAGAGATGAGGTTAAATTTTCTTGGTGACCACTTAGACACGGCCCTGAGCTGTCACTGCCTTGGCGAAGCGCAGCTATTTAACGGTGACTTCAGCGGTGCCTTGGAATCTTTGCACGCAGCCTTAAGTATCAGAGACAAAGAACTGGGGATCCATTCAGAAACGGCCGCAACTTCAGAGCTGCTAGGCCGCGCCTATGAAGGCCTGGGTCAACACGACTTAGCTTGTCAGCAAATCAGAAGAACACTTGAAATGAGAGAATACCTGCAGACAGATGTGAACACTGCGCTGAGTGATCCCAGTAATCCGTTTCTCGGGTGTAATTCAGAAGGAGAATACTTAAGTCTGATTTATTCGAACGTTCCACGAGTCTAGAAAAACTCCATCCACATCAATATTGAAACGCATGAAAACGTACATCATTGATAAGTAAATTTTAAACTCGGTATTGAAATGTGAAAGGTGAATTGATCAACGTGACACGAGTGTGGGACAAAGAAAAACTCTGAGTCCCCGACAGAAATCGAATCCATGACCTCCCGAACACCGAGCGGGTGGTCTATCCACCTAGTTACGAGAACTCATGGAGAGCAAGGTCATTTAACTGAGTCCATATGTCATCAGTTCACCTTTCACGACGTATGTCACATGAACTCAGTTAAATGACCTTGCTCTCCATGAGTTCTCGTAGCTCAGTGGATAGACCTATGAAGATCTATGAAGCGGTGAACCCCAGGCTGGGAGAAGAGCTAGCGCCTGGCGCCTTTAAACCTTATCGGTGAGAAGATTGGGTCTTAACTTGGCAGCAAAATGTGGAGTTTTTCCTAATGTAACAAGCCAACAACTCGACGTGTGCCTCGATCTGGCCAAGGAGGGACGCCTTCAGACGATGCAGTCAACAACTCATCAAGACCAAAAGACACGTTCACAACTTTCGAACAAAATCAAAGCTCATTAACGTGAAATGACAAAAACATTTACAGACTAAGCTCGTAGCGTACAGAAACTGAGATATTTAGCTGTGTGTTATGACTTACGAATCTTGTACAGGCGGCTCTCCAACTCAGTCAATAGGTTCATACCACTGCTAGCTACTGCTGTGGTGATGAAAGACACCATATAAACACTAAATAATATAGACCACCGTATTTACACTAAGATACATGTAGCATTCTTACTGTAGAATTTTGGGCATCAAAGACGTGGTTTACTTTAAGAACTCAGGAGTTAGGTATGTCGATCTATAAGCCGCTAATACAATCGAGAAAATTCCAAAAGAATACAGGCTGATGCCTCGTGATGTGAGGACGTTGATGAAGCAACGGACCGGTGACAACTTACATCCCTGGGTTGGTTGCAATTTCAGTAAAAAAAAAAAAAAAAACAGCAAATAGTTTTTGCAGGTTGCAGGCTGAAAAATCGACTTTTTAAGTTCCAGTAAGTCTACTTAGCACTTTGAGTAGCCTGAATAGCACTCCAGTTAGCCCAAATAAGCTTAGGTTGCTTGCGGGTAGCCTTTATACTCGGGTTTGTTCGGCTAAAATTCGAATAAACAGGTCGTTTCAACCCAAAAAAATACTTGCCGGTAAAAAACATTAGGTAAGGATTAAAGTTGACACGGGTTTTATTTGTTGCCGCAGATTATTTCAATGCTACTGGTTGAGATAAGTTAAAGTAAAAATCAAACGTCAAAAACGAACAAAAATTGAGAAGTCCTTAAATATTAATACTCGATTAGCGTAATCTCGCTTTGAACAACCAGGGCCTGAACGGTAGAAGCAACCAACATCAGCACATCCCTTAGACATTTCAAGAAAGGTTCAGCAGGATTTTGGAAAAACTTTTGACGACTTCTTGAGATCTTTTACCGAATAACACTCCAGGAAAATTTACCAGTCACTCTTAAAACTTTCAGAACTTTCCAGCAACACCTTCCACGGCTGCACAGCGTGGTATTAAGCTGCTTCTTAGCCGTAACCTGGTGAGGCGTGCCGCTTTATAGCTTAGCCTGTAAGTACAGGCATTCATGTAGCTTACTCGGGATCCCAAACCAAACATCAAAAGTCAATTGGCGAAGGTGAGAATTCTGAAGGATGCTCCAGACGACAGAAAACACAGTACTTATGGTTCACCTCGTCATCCAGCTGAGCAATTGAGAAAGGCTTGCTACAGTTTTGACACTGAAATACCAAGTGATATATGAAAGTAAGGTTAAAATAATCAAAAGCTACTTCTTACAATTGAATGTAAAATTTACTAACAACGTCAGTAGTTATACCTAATGTAGTTCTGGGTGGGCGGGGCCTCTACACAGTTAGAAATATGTTGCATCACTAGACTATGAGTTGTATTTGTTGAGTTGTGAAACACAAGTGGAAGTATGGACAGCATGCAATGTTGTTGAGAACACGGGCTGCAGATGAGTGTTAACAAAGCTTTTTCGAGTTCTCCCAAACTTTCATGAGTGTCTCTACAACTCGATAGAAACACAGAGAAATTGTTTTGCTATTTCTTGTCAAAAATACCGTGACAAAAAGGGAGGTAACTCACTTGCTTATTTGTTTATCAGAAATAAAAAATTTTCCTTTGCTCGCACCTCCATTACATCATCAGTTCTTGCTAGTTCTGTGTTTCAATAAAGATAAAGAAGTTGATTGCATGCTTTCTTACAAGGTGTTTTCTAAAACCAAATGGCCCCTGAGGTTTAGCTGTATTGAGGAAAACTGGGTTGGGAAAATTGAGTCCTCCATCTTTTAACCTCGCCCTTAAATTCTCTTTCTTCCTTATGCTTCTAATACTTGACAATTAAAATCATCCCTTGAAAAACACCGGAAGATTTTAATTAGGATTTAATAACGACACAGTGGACATGCCATCTGAAACAAACCTGCACAATTCTCAGTCCTATGTTTTTTCTGTGTTCTAACACAACTGGTATATCTTCACTTGACTCTATGTTCCACATACGGACAGTGTTGTCCTAAAAGTTGTGTATAAACAAACCAACTTAAATTATTTTTTTCAAGTCCAACATTCGGTTCAACACAGGATCAGATGGATCTTCCACAATCATTCAATGCTGTATTGTAAAGCACATGGATCTTCCAATTAAAAAAAAAAAAGAATTAAAAAAAAAGCTGGATGAGTGCACTATCATGCCATAAGAAATTATATAAGAAATTATCTAAAACAAGACAAGTAGTCCATATTTGCTCCCAATACTAGCTTTCAGAAAATATAATGTAATAGCTTGCACTGCTCATCTCCACTCCAGATTGAGCAGTCCAGGTTTGAGCACTGGCCGAGGACATTGTGTTGTACTATTGGGCAAGACATTTTACTCTCACAGTGCCTCCCTCCACCCCAGGTGTATAAATGGGTACCAGCAAATTTAATGCTGGAGGGTAACCCTGCAATGGACCAGCATCCCATCCAGGGGGGAGTATAGAAATACTCCTATTTGCTTCATGCTAATGAAACTAGGATAAGTCACGGCGTCGTATGCAGACTTTTCCTGACCTTTCACTGTACGTGTGTGTATTAAAATTCTTAGAAAGAAAGGGCAGTTTAAGCAAGACATATAGACTCTTCACAGATTCTAAATTCACCAGTATAAATAGAATTGATAAAATAATTATAACTAAATAGGAATTTGCAGTGGCACATCCCATAATGCATTGACAGGCTCTTTGTCCACTGTTTCCAGATTGAATTGGAATTTAGAAGTCCTGGTTTTTTGTTAATTAGTAGTAGGTAATCAATTTAAATTAATAATTATGCATCTAAGCAAAGTAGTGATTATTTTAGTTTTAAATACTAACATTTGAACATGAGATTATCCATTTCTGATCAGCACTGAGTTTGCAGTCATTTACCCAGCCTGTGTGACCCTAAAATGAAAACCAATTATTACAGAATAAAGAGGACCACTCTTATCTCATCGAAAAACTGAAGTGACTAATTTTCATTATACAGTTATTTCATTATTTAAATAAACTCCCTCTCTAGTAAATATTGCTCCTCTACATTAACCCACTGTACTCTCCCGGACCAATCATAACTGAGCCCTAACAGTTGCAACAAATGATGAGAATCATGAGACAAAAACAAATTCACTATAACACATTGTATGTTCATTACAATAGTGCTTCAATTTTCCTTCAGGAGCCATATTCACAAACCCCTCAGCCTCTAGGTTAGATTGTATCTTAACTGTTGTGTATTACAAGAATATAAAATGCTGTCTTTAAGAAGCAGTACTTAGGATGCATCTTAACTTAGGAGAATGTTGTAAATCTGGCCCGAGGTTCGAAAACTTTGAGCACTTTTACCTCACGCAATTGCAGTAATTACCGTAGGTAATGTCTAGATAAACAAAGAATACCTTAAGTGCAAACTTCTGGCAACAGTTTTCAACATCCCAGATGACCAAAGTTTCATCATATGATGAGGACACTAACATACTACCTACAAGAGAGAGAACCACATATGATCATCAAGAAGACTGTCAAATGAGTGCTGAGATTACAGAAATACTAATGGTATCTATGTAAACAAGCAAAAATGTTTCTTCTGATTCCATTGAATAATTCATACTACAATAAAGTTGCCTTAGCAGAATCAAAATATTTAACTATATATGAGCTTCCAGAGCTGTCACACCCGGGGGGG